TGGATTTTCTCTCTTAAATCCATGAAAACCTGAGGACTTAAAACCTTAATTTTAAGCGCCATTTCTAGACTGACTGAATAAGAAAAGTGTCAGATTCAAAAGGAGAATTCAAAGTTACCACTATCAGGGTATGCTTTTTCTCTGCTGGATGGCCAAACAGACTGTTGCTATTGTATTTTGCATCTAGTCGCAGCTGTGTAAACACGAGTTAAGTATGAAAAACATCATGCCCTCTTAATCAGAAATACAACAACCCAAATAAACTCCTTTCGGATGAACAGTTTAGTTAGGATGAGTAATTTGTAGAGTAACATTTGCCACCTGTATAAAAAGCACTCCTACTTAGCTCTTGAAGATATCTTTCTCTGAATTATCAGATACCCAGAAATACTGACTTTATTATAAAGCATGGCAATCCAAACCAAGGTCACAGATTACAAACTTATAGCAAGAGTTAAATTAAAATGGCTCATAGGTATTACTGGTTAGGGTGATGTTTCAATAACAGTTCTGCCACATTAAAGCAAACGTTCCCCAAGGAAACATCTCTTCTGCTCATAAATGTCAAGTCAGCTTCATTTCCCCCAATTCAAAGAATAATATCCATTATACTCAACATCACACTCAGTGGTGATAAGTTGAAAGCTTTTCCTCTAAAATCAGGAACAAGACAAGTATTCCCACTTTTGCCATTTTATTTAACATAGTACTGGGAAGTCCTAGCCAGAGCAATTAGGCAAGAAAAAGAAATACGGTAAAAGGCATCCAAGTCAGAAAGGAAGAAATAAAACTGTCTCTATTTGCAGATGACATATTACAAATACATATAGAAAATGCTAGACTCTACCAAAAAAACTGTTAGAACTAATAAACAAATTCAGTACAGTTTTGGGATACAAAATCAATATACAAAAATCAATTTTGTTTCTATACACTAATAACAAACTATCAGAAAGAGAAAGTTTAAAAATAATCCCATTTACAATTACACCCAAAGAATAAAATACCTGGGAATAAATTTAACCAAAGAGGTGAAAGATCAGTACCCTGAAAACTACAAATCATGAGTGGAATACACTGAGACAAAAATAAATGGAAAGATATTCCATGCTCATGAATTAGAATCATTAATATTGTTTAATATGTGCATACTACCCAAAGCAACATACAGATTCAAAGCAATCCCTATCAAAATTCCAATGGCATTTTTTTCAGAAAAGTAGAAAAAACAATCCTAAAATGTGTATGGAACAACAAAAGACCCCAAAACAATCTTGAGAAAGAACAACAAAGCTTGGAGGTATCACATTTCCTGATTTCAAACTCTGTTACAAAGCTATAACATCAAGAGTATAATAATGACATAAAACCAGACACACAGGTCAATGGAACAAAACAGAAAGCTCAGAAATAAACCCCCACCTATGGTTAATTAATTTATGACAAAGAAGCCAAGAATATACACTAGAGAAAGGACAGCGTCTTTATTAAACAGGGCTGGGGAAAACGAACAGCCACATGCAAAAGGATGACACGAGATCCATACCTTACACCATAGAAAAAAATCAACTCAAAATGGATTAAAGATTTGAACATAAGACCTGAGAAGAAAACATAAGGGAGTAAGCTGCTTGGCATCAGCCTTGGCAATGATTTTTTGAATTTGACACCTAAAGCAAAAGCAACAAAAGCAAAACAATATCAAACTAAAAAGCTCTACACAGCAAAAGATACCATCAAATGAAAAGGCAACCTACCAAATGAGAGACAACATTTGCAAGTCATATATCTGATAAGAGGTTAATGTCCAAAATATATAAAGAACACACGCAACCATGAGATATCGCATCATACCTGTTAGAATGGCTATCGAAAAAGGACAATAGGTAGCAAGTATTTGAGAGGATGTGGAGAAAAGGGAACTCTTGTACACTCTTGGTGAGATTGTTAATTACTGCAGCCACTATGAAAAACAGTATCGCAGAGCCTCAGAAAATTAAAATAGAACTACCATATAGTACAATCCAGCAATTGCACTTCTAAGTATACAACCAAAGGAAATAAAATCTCTACCTTGAAGAGGTATTTTCACTCCCATGTTTATTGCAGCATTATTTACAACAGCCAAGGAAACAACCTATATATCCACCAACAGATGAATGCATAAAGAAAACATATGTATACATACACACACACAATGGAATATTATTCAACCATAAATATGAAAGAAATTCTGCCATTTGCAACAGTGTAAGTAGAACTTAGGAGCATTATGCTAAGTGAAATATGAAGCAAGTCAGACAAATGCTATCTGATCTTTTATATGTGGAATCTAAAAAGAACTAAACTCGTAGAAACAGAGAACATATTGGTGGTTGTGAGGCAGGGAGCGGAGGGAAGGTGAAATGGGTGAAAGTGGTCAAAAGTTACAAACTTTGATTATAAGATAAATAAGTCCTGGAGATGTAATGTAAAACATGGTGACTATAGTTAACAATACTGTATTGTATATCAAAGTTGCTAAGAAAGTAGATCTTAAAAGTTCTCACCACAAGAAAAAATGTATAACTATGTGAAGTGATAGGTGTTAACTAAACTTAGCTGGCAATGTTTGCACAATATATACATATATCAAATCACTATGTTGTATATCTTTAATTAGATATTATATGTCAATCATGTCGATTAAACTGGGGGAAAAGTTTTTTTAAATAATGTCATGTGTCTGTTAGGAGGAGACTGATACTTTAAATAGAATCCCCTGGCCCAGTGGCTCAGCTGGTTGAAGCATCGTCCTATATACCAAAAGGTTGCTAGTTAGATTCCTGGTCAGGACACATACCAGGTTGAAGGCTCGATCCCCAGTCACGGCACATATGGGAGGCAACTAATCAATGTTTCTCTCATTAATCAATATTTTTCTCTCTTTCTTCCTTCCTCTCTCTCTAAAATCAATAACCATTTATCCTCAGATGAGGATTAAAAAACATTTTTAAAATAAATATAATCCATGAACCAGAAGTACTACTCTGACATTACATTTGACACACAATTAAATGTGTAACCATGAGGACTGAAACAGAGATTATTTTACACACTGGATAAAAATTAGAATTCTGTGATTATAGTTCTACAGTCTGTATGAACAAAAATTGATCACATTATGAATAAACAATATAAGTCTATAAGCAATTAGTTTATTATAACTTTTTGGATTTGATGGCACATTAACAACAAAAAACAATCCAGGGCAGTAATGGCTATTGTGGTTTCAGAAAGGTATATGTTAAATAGAAAAAATATGTTTAAATAATAGCATTCCTTAAGATAGAGGTCTAGTTCTAGTGGAAAAATAATTCACCACCATAATTACAAAGTAACTAATTAAATGATGTAGTTTTTATTTGCTGATATGCATTTATAATTCTTATTTTGAAGCAAAGATTTTTATTTTTCTGGTGCCATCAAGTGGTAACATTATGAAGTGTTCTAGAGTTAAATGCAAATAACTTTTAGACAAAAGAATCACACTGATGTATTTTATCTATGTCAATTAGATACTAGTGATGTTTTATCACAAAAATTATCTAAAAAGAAGAGAAAAATATCAGAGCCAATTATTTGCAACTCATCCCTATTTTAAACCCCCAACCCAAAATAACAGTTAAGACAAAGAAATATGAGTAGATCTTTAAGACCAGAATGCTCCACTAGCAAAAAAACAAAACAAAAAACACTCCAACAGATAATAAAACTATTAGAAAACCAAGTTTGTATTAAAATGACATATATTATCAGTCAAACCAAGAGAAATGCTCCTTCCTGAAACTCCATTAACATGGCTGTAAAATAATTATTTTTAAGGCAAAATCCCACAAGGACAAAGAGACTGAGAGAAAAGATAGCAGCAACACAATTTTAGAAGCCAGCAAGGAGATGGGTGAGTGGTTACAGACTTGGGGAAACTCCAGAAAGCTGCCCGACTGACATGGCACTAAATCTCTCCCAAAGTTCAGGAGCTGGTGGCTCTAAGTAGCTGTGGACAGGAGAGTGAAGAATAAAAACAAGAAACTTAGTCAAAATCAGTTAAAAAGCAGTTAGGATACCACTACACACACTTCCTCTTCCACTCCATGCAGCCAAGCATTCATCTTTACACCACATTAAAAGAATGAAGGTTATACTCTAGGAAGAGTACAGCAGAATGCTTCTGGACTTCAGGACACAGGCACAGTGAGAGCAGGGGAAGTGTTAGTAATACAGGAAATGGTAGTAATCTGAATGGTACTAACAAGTCAAAGATCACACACAAAAAATAATGAAGATGGTAATTTTCTGGAAAGAAAACCACTGGAAGAAGGTCTCATCAACCTTAGATTATTGTGTCCAGGAAGTCATGTAACTAACTGCAGCATGCTTCACTCTGGTTCTATAAGGAAAATGCAAATAATTAAACAAAAACTGATGCTTAAAAAAAAAAATGTAACTTCTACTTATAGACATTCAACAACATTCAACTCTACATGCCCTGAATCACTCTCATGCATTAGCTGAGAATTTACTGCAACTAACGAAGAACAAAATAGTAGGCAAATCCAAGGACCTTTTACACTCTTGGTTTAAAAGCCCATTTCATCTCCTCTCTTCAGGCCATTGAGAGTAGGTGCACTAAAGAATCGCTGTGAACACTCCTATGAGAGGTGAAGGCTAGTGACCATTGGCCATATCAGAGAAAACACACATTATTATTCATAATAGAGACTCAGAGACTTATTTTTTCAATCCTATTTTGTTGCTTAATTTATCAAAGCAGAGAGTTAAGTGTATCTGATACTGTCATGTAACCAGGAGATATCCATATTTAGGCCATTTAATCTTCAGTATTTCTCATTTTCAGTCTTTTTTTTTCTTTAGAGGATTATATATAAGACAAATAGTTATATGTATACATGTTTTTCCAGATATCAACAAAAGAAACATTAATATACATAAAACTGTACCTTGTACACCTTCTAGAAGTAAGTCAACTCCCTTCCTATAAAAATCAGAAGCAGCTTCATAGTCATCTTCTTCTTCCTTCTTTAAAGCCAGCTTTATGAATTCTCCTGCTTTCTCCAAATAATTTCTCTTGCCAAGCTTGGATTTTAAACTGCCAGGAAAGAGGCTACGATTTTCCCGTTCTTCTGTCTTGTTCTGCTCACTGTCATAAGCAACAGCCCCTAGTGCTGAAGGATCCGAAGGAAGATTGAGACCAAAAGTTCTAGTGGGAGAATTTTGATTGGAAGCCATTCCATCATCTAACTCAGCAAGGGAATCCACATCGACAGTAAGAGATATCAGGTCACTGTCACTGGAGAAGCCTGGAAATACAATCATAATAGTAAACATTAAATTGAGAATCAACCAAAACAATACAAATCATGCTATTAATTTTTTCATCGATCAAAGTCAATTAGGAAGGCTATATTTACTGATGAAGTCAGTGTCTAGCAATTTGTTTTAGTATAAGTTCATTCATTTTTTTCCAATATCTGTATTTTTTATTTTTTAATCCTCACCCAAGGATATGTTTATTGATTTTTAGAGAAAGAGGATGTGGGAGAGAGAGACAGACAGAAAGATGTGACAGAAACATCAATTGGCTGCCTCCCCTATGCACCCAGACCAGGGATTGAACCCACAACCCAGGTATGTGCCCTGACTGGGAATAGAACCTGCAACCTTTTGGTGTAGAAGACGATGCCCCAACCAACTGAACCACCCTGCCAGGGCAGTTCATTCATTTTTGCACTGTCACTCAACAGCTCTGGAAGAACATCTCCTTGCCTTAATTATCAAACTAAAACTGAAGTTAAGTTTTTATCTAGCCTTGTTGTCAAAAAGAGCCTTTAGCACAAGATCTTGCAAACCATTTTTAGCAAGCGCATGCTTGCACACACAGCTGCTATGAACAATAATATTAAGATGAAGGGAAAAGAGTAAGAGCTTTAGAGTAAGTACAAAAGAAGTTTAGAAACCCAGCTCTTGAAACTTATTGTGTGACCAACAGCAAATTACTTAACAGTTTTACTTATTATGCAGGGCATTACGAGAACAAAGTTAATACATATGAAGCATAATAGGCTATCATTAAATTACAACTCTAGCAATTATATAATAATTATTTAACTATTTAGACAATATATTCCCAGAAATGTGTTTTTAGGTCACCATCCATATCAGGTGGGGAGTGTGCAGGAGGCGGCCAATCAATGATTCTCTCTCATCATTGATTTCTCTATCTCTCACTCTTCCTTCCTCTCGGGAATCAATAAAAATATTTTTTTAAATATATATTTAAAAAATTTTTTAAATAAAATAAAGAACTGAATTATTAGAAATCTTTGTTTCAGACACTTTCACAGCTTTTGGAGAAAGTTTTGGTCTATATTTGTATCTTAGTTTTCTAACAGAAAATGAAAAATAGGTGCTGCTAAAATTTTTAGTAATGAAAATTACTTCTCCCACTTCATATAACTGACTTCATGGTAAATAAGCATGATGTACAATAACAGTTACTAAACTTTTTGGTTTTAAAACCTCCCTTTACATTCTCAAAAATGACTGATAACCTCAAAGAGATTCTATGTGGACTTTATAAATATTTACTAATCTTAATATTTAAAAAACTGACAATTTTTTTAATTAAACATTAAAGCCCATTACAAGTTAACATGATTTTTATTTTTAAAAATTTTATTTTCCAAAACAAAAAATATTTAGAGAAGTGGCACTGTTTTACATTTCTGCAAATCTTGTTAACAAAAGATGGCTAGATCCTCATATCTGTTCTCTGCACCCAATCTGTTGTCAGATGTTGTTCTGGTTGAAAGATTTGAATAAAATGTCACATAGATATATAATTGAAAATGGGGCAAATATTTTAGTAGCCTTTTTAAATAATTGTGGAGACTATCTTTTAATACTACAACCAAACTTGATTACGTGGTTGTTTCTTAAAGCTTAGTTGCCATGTAGAACATAACATAAATTCCTATCAACGAAATTTGTTTTTGTTTGTATATTTTGTTAATTTTTATTGTTGAAAGTATTACGTATGTCCCTCTTTTCCCCCCACTGACCCCTTCTAGCCTACCCCCACCCTAGGCCTGCACACTCTATTGTCTATGGCCATGGGTTATGCATGAAATTTGTTTTGTTACACACAAATCCATTGGTCTGTCTTACACACAGAATGGATCTTTTTATCCATCATAAGTTTGTAACATCACACATTGGTCATTTTGAAAATACTGGTTTCCAGAGCTACATAGATAAAGTGATGACAAATTTCATATTATAATATCACCACCAAAACCGAATTTGTTATTATCACCACCAAATTCACCAGAAAATTCTTTAAGTATTGGAAAACTGTCAAGCTCAAAGTGGAAGATATAAGTTCTCCAAAATTCTAATTGTAGGTTGCAAACCTGAATTGTATCAGTGGCAACACATGCTGTCAGTTATTTTCTCCTTCAAGTATCAGCTCACTTCGTTTACTTTCAAAAAAATATGTGCCAAATTCCCAAGTTGAATAATGACAGTTTGTCTGTTAAACATCCTTTCAAGTAAATATGGTGTTCCAAGAAAAAAAAGGAACTAGTTTATGGCTCAAGCAACTGCACAAGAACTTTTCCCTAAGACAACCACGGTAGTTCAGTATGCAGAAGTGCTTTGTGTATAGTTCCATTCCGTCACACAAAATATCAACAAAGGCATGTACCCGAAGGTTGAGGTTTAATGAAATTGAGTTTTAGTGCTTTATCAAGGACACTCAGCACTGGCATTACTACAAGTGTGTCAATGCTTTCAGTTACTGGCTGGTGTCGCTCTTTTAATTCATGCTCTGGCACACTAGTTTTACCCACCATTGTTTCTGTGTCATCAGTGAACATGCCAAAAAATATTCTTTTGAATTTTGTCAACCATTTAAAATATAAAAACCAGCCCTAGCCGGTTTGGCTCAGTGGATACAGCGTCAGCCTGCAGACTGAAGGGTACCAGGTTCCATTGCGGCCAAGGGCACATGCCCGGGTTGTGGACTCGATCCTCAGTGTGGGGCATGCAGGAGGCAGCCAATCAATGATTCTCTCTCATCATTGATGTTTCTATCTCTCTCTCCCTCTCCCTTCCTCTCTGAAACCAATAAAAATATATTTAAAAAATAAAATATAAAGACCATTCTTAGCTTTTAGGTCATATAAAAACAGGTGGCAGGCCAGATTTGGCCCACAGGCTATACGTTGTCAACCCCTATTATAGACTCAAATTGTTTATTTCATATCAAATAAAGTTAGGGTAAAAACATGGTACTGGCAGCTAAACTCAAATTTTAAATCAGCTTTAGACACAACTTTGGCACCCTGTCAATAAAATATTCTGTTTTCAGGGTTTTGTTTTTTTTAAATCCTCAGAATGCCCATAAAGAACTAATTTTGAGGTACAAACTTCCTGTTATAAAAGAAATAAGACATAGGAATGTAATGTACAGCATGGCAACTATACTTAATAATACTGTACTGCATATCTGAAAGTTGCTAAGAGTAGATCTTAAAAGTTTTCATCACAAGAAAAAAATCTATAACTATGTATGGTGACAAATATTAAGTAGACTTAATGTGGTGATCATTTTGTGATACAGTTGACCCTTGAACAATGTTGGGCCCCCAACTCCAACCCCATAAAGTTGAAAATACACATATAACTTTTGACTCCCCCAAAAACTTAACTACAGTCCCTCAGTATCCTCGAGGGATTGGTTCCAGTATCCCCCACAAATACTAAAATCCACAGATGCTCAAGTCTCATAAAGAATGGCAAAGAACAAAGCATACAGTCAGCTCTTTGCATCCTCCAATCAAAAATACTGTTTTCAATATGCAGTTGGTTAAACGCATATTGCAAAACATGGGAAATGGCCCTAGCCTATTTGGCTCAGTGGATAGAGCTTCAGCCTGCAGACTGAAAGGTCCCGGGTTCGATTCCAGTCAAGGGCACATGCCTGGGTTGCGAGCTTGATCCCCAATAGGGGGTGTGCAGGAGGCAGCCAATCGGTGATTCTCTCTCATCATTGATGTTTCTATCTCTCTCTCTCCCTGTCCCTTCCTCTCTAAAATCAATAAAAATATGTTCAGAGAACCAAGATGGCGGCATAGGTTAACGCCGGAGTTTGCTGCTTTGAACAACTACTTCAAAAGTGAAACTAAAAGACGGAAGGGACATCACCCAGAACCACAGGAACGCTGGCTGAGTGGAAGTCCTACAACTAGGAGGAAAGAGAAACGCATACGGACACTCAGAGGAGGCGCAGTGCTGAAGGCAAATTCTGAACCCACCTTGTTGATCCTGTGCGACCCGCCCCGCCCAAGCCCTGCACTGAGGCATTTGCCGGATAGCCTCAGGCAAAGGCTAGATAAGCACCTCCCTAGAGGACAGAAGTTCTCTCACTGCTGACACAGCTGATTCTCATAGCCACTTGGCCTGGAGGTCAAACCCTCCCTGGTATTAGCTACAACAATCAAGGTTTAACTATAAGACTTCGAACAAAGACCACTAGGGGGTGCACCAAGGAAGCATAACAAAATGCGGAGACAAAGAAACAGGACAAAATTGTCAATGGAAGATATAGAGTTCAGAACCACACTTTTAAGGTCTCTCAAGAACTGTTTAGAAGCCGCCGATAAACTTAATGAGATCTACAAGAAAACTAATGAGACCCTCGATCTTATATTGGGGAACCAACTAGAAATTAAGCATACACGGACTGAAATAACGAATATTATACAGACTCCCGACAGCAGACCAGAGGAGCGCAAGAATCAAGTCAATGATTTGAAATGCGAGGAAGCAAAAAACACCCAACCGGAAAAGCAAAATGAAAAAAGAATCCAAAAATGCGAGGATAGTGTAAGGAGCCTCTGGGACAGCTTCAAGCGTACCAACATCAGAATTATAGGGGTGCCAGAAGATGAGAGAGAGCAAGATATTGAAAACCTATTTGAAGAAATAATGACAGAAAACTTCCCCCACCTGGTGAAAGAAATGGACTTACAGGTCCAAGAAGCGCGGAGAACCCCAAACAAAAGGAATCCAAAGAGGACCACACCAAGACACATCATAATTAAAATGCCAAGAGCAAAAGATAAAGAGAGAATCTTAAAAACAGCAAGAGAAAGAAACTCAGTTACCTACAAGGGAATACCCATACGACTGTCAGCTGATTTCTCAACAGAAACTTTGCAGGCCAGAAGGGAGTGGCAAGAAATATTCAAAGTGATGAATACCAAGAACCTACAACCAAGATTACTTTATCCAGCAA